AGAGCCTAGCCTGATATATAGACTAAACTTGGTATAAGCCTTGTAAATACTTGAACCAGTTTTATTTACTTTTTATGTTGATAGTGTTTTATTTAATTGATAGCCTGATAATGAAAATTCTGTACCATAATGTTATACACGTATTTTATAAACATGTTAGCAAATAGCAACAACCTTACACTTGCTCCATAACTTATTATCGCTTATCAGTTGACATATGATCAAAGTAGTAGGTCCTAAAGGCCTCCCAGTGGGCCATTGCAAAACTAAAGATTCTCATTTCTAAACATTCAGATCACATTGTAGTTTCACAAAATAGATTTAGATATAAGTAAATAATTTATACGTGACTAATATTACTAATAAACGTGGGTTTATATACTCTATACAAAGGGTTCCCCACAAAGATAAAAAAATATAATGGCGTCTTTTTTTTCTTCTTTCAATTATTGAGTGTTAAACCGTCAGGCCAAATGGAAGGAGGAGGTCTTTATAGCAACTGACCCTCCCAGGTTGCACAAACACGACCGAATACCAATCATTCAAATCACACAGGGACTAAATGTATTGTCCCACAGTACTGTATGTCTGCAGACTTATACCGCTTGATAGAAACCGATACGGTTTCGATACCCGTGGTGGGAAGAGTACACACAGATAGCCATTTGTGTAGCGTTGTGCTTAATAACAAACAACAACAACAACAACAACCAAATGTATTTTTTTAAATTACCAGTCAGATGATCTTAGATCTTCTTAATTTGAATTTAAATACATAAATAGCATAATACTTTTGTATATCTATTTACAATTTTACATTAACAATAAGTACTGTTACGAACTTGGTCACTTTCATCTAGGCTATCCTTTAAGGGTGGGTTGAAGTTCCGTGACGGAAGGGATGAAATAAGAGGGTTCCACCAGTGATGTAATGCTAAGTTTTATAGTGTCGGAGCCCTGCCAAAATTTGTCAGATGCGTGATGTCACTATCAGGATAAAGATCTCATATCATGATATTCAAAACCTAATTTCCATCGTTGTGGGTTAAGTTTAAATAAAGAAATTATATAGAGAGAACAACTTATTTGAGACATAACTGTTTGAGGTCTACAAATGCAGAGATATAGTCATATCATAGTTAGTCCACAATATAATGAACACGAACAAGAACATCTTTAACTTATACCTGTTTATTGGTAGCGTTTCGAAAGACGTCTGTTAAAAACCATCAACATTGGCAATTAAAAAGAAATACGTTTGCCATCAGGAAAACAATGGTCACCAAGCGCTGATAACTAACTGAGCAAAAGCAATCAGACAAGCTCGTAAAGTGTAACAATTGCCAGACTGTTTACCACTTCAATATTACTCAGGATTCAACTTCATCAAAATATTACGCGATGAACATCACGACTGTCGTATAGTAATTAACAACCTGTCCAAAAACCACTTACCTTAGATTCAGAGAGTAAAGCATAGCTTCAGTGGCGCTTATAGCACAACTTTGAACATTAAATGACTAGAAACTCCTAAAGAGTTGGATTTCACTTTTATGAACTAACGCAGAGAAAAAGTAAGGAGAAAACCACATGAGCCACTTGATCCTACTTTTTCAACAAACAAGCTATTGGAAGTGGAATAATGACGGGGGAGACATTTTGATGACATGAGTTTAAATCAATAGTACATAAATGTTTACGATTAATTATACTTGTGATAAGACATTATGTTAAGCCTATTATATTTTTCACAATACATTATTAATCTAGCCTCTTAGAGATTTTCAAGGATCAGAAGAGTATAAATTAATAGTATTTAAACTGCACTATATTCGTCATATCCATTGCCGACGACGTGTTTCGCTTATTCCAGAGCTCTTCAGGCCGGCTAGGATATAATGAACAGATTAGTGGACGGAATACTATTTATACAGGCCATTTGTTACAACAGCAGCTGTTATGGTGTTAACGCCTTTTACAAGCTGGCGAAGCATGATTATGATTAATTATATTTGTCATAAGACATTATGTTTAGCCTATCATATTTTTGAATACTACATTCTTAATCTAGTCCCTTAGGGACTTATCTAGATGATCAAGGACCCTTTAAAGTCTATAATGTAACAATTCACTGTACTCGTATTGTCTGAATTTGGTTTAAAGGCTATGAAAGTGATTTCAGTCATCCTTTGAACTCGGCCAGCACAAGTACTGAATCTTTATTTGGCTAAGCATCTTTGAGATTAACTTAAACTTTGCATTGGCCACCATACTACCTTGACAAAAGGTATGAATTAAATGGAAGCCACACTCATTGACAAATGTGTTACAAATGAACAAGAATAATGACATTGTGTGGAGTATATGCCATACCGAGGCCTGGCGACTAGTTCGGCAAAAGTTCGTCCAATCATTTGAGGTTGAGGTTTTTAACAGAATGACCAGTCAAAGTGTCATATACTTGTGCAAAATCCTGTTATATTATTCGTACAAAATGTTTCATTTGCAGAGAGGGTTTGCTAAAGAAATAAGACTTAAAAATTTGGTTTGTCAGTCATAGAAAATTAACAAGATTTATATGTTTTAAATGTTGAAATTAGAATATGTGCGCAAAACGTGGTAAACAAGTAAAGAAAATTGATTTAAAAAGTCTAGGCTCTAGATACTACGCGTATCATTACTTATTACAACTTGATTTATTCTACATGAAAATAGTTCAAATCACATATAGAAAAAAAATCTAAATATATTGGTTTGAGGTCTAGTTCTCATCATCACATGATAGAGCAAAATATATAGGTGACAAAAGACACGCTTTCCTCTAACAAGGTTGGTTAAATCATCTACAGGTCAACATTGAATAACATTCCCCTTTACTATTATATAACAGAACATTCAAAAAGTTTGTTGCATAGATTCTATTTACTCCGTGTCCATAAAATGTTTCAATTTTTATGATAAATCCTAAATATGGCCAGGTAGTTACGGCGCTCGACTCGCAAGCTGAGGGTCGCGGGTTCGAATCCCCCGTCTCACCAAACATGCTCGCCCTTTCAGCCGTAGGGGCGTTATAATGTGACGGTCAATCCCACTATTCGTTGGTAAATGAGTAGCCCAAGAGTTGGCGGTGGGTGGTGATGACTAGCTGCCTTCCCTCTAGTCTTACACTGATAAATTAGGGATGGCTAGCCCAGATAGCCCTCGTGTAGCTTTGCGCGAAATTCAAAACAAACAAACAAATCCTAAATACATATTTTCAATTTAATGAAACATTCATTTAGGAAATTATTTAAATTGTAAATCATTGTACGATTATCTACATGTCGCGGTAGAAAGAAGCCCCACCAAACATGCTCGTCTTTTCAGCCGTGGGGGCGTTATAATGTGACGATCAATCCCACTATTCGTTGTTAAAAGAGTAGCCCAAGAGTTGGCGGTGGGTGGTGATGACTAGCTGCCTTCCCTCTAGTCTTACACTGCTAAATTAGGGACGGCTAGCGCAGATAGCCCTCGTGTAGCTAGCTTTGCGCGAAATTCCAAAAAAACAAACAAAACAAACAAGAAAGGAGCCATAGGAGACGTTCGTTTTTAAATTATCTATATATGTTTCTGTACTTTAAACGTTTTCTCAGAATAATCGCACACATCTATAAATGCAGTTATATTTTGAGAAATGAATTTAGTGTTACAGTATGACTTATTTTTTAAAATCTGGTGTACGGTTCGTAGGCGTTAACTTGTTCTGGTTTCGCAAAAGTTCATTATCGAAGATTATTGAACAGTAAAATAAATCTGCATATCAATATCCTTAAAGTATATTGAAATTGAATAAAAATAATATAGGCACGTGTCACAAGAATATTTTAAATATCTAATAACTTTACAAGTACATACAAACTCTTAAATAAAACATGTCATCACTGTCTGATAAAATAGAGCCACAGGTGACAGTGGTGCTCAGAGACGGATGAACCTCATTAATAACTCTTTCTTTTAGCACCGACGCCCGGCATGGCCAGGTGGTTAGGGCGCTCGAATCGCAATGTGCGGGTTGCGAGTTCGAATCCCCGTCCCACCAAACATGCTCGCCCTTTCAGCCATGGGGGCGTTATAACGTGACGGTCTATTCGTTGGTAAAAGAGTAGTTGGCGGTGGATGGTGATGACTAAGCTGCCTTCCCTCTAGGCTTACACTGCTAAATTAGGGACGGTTAGCGCAGATAGCTCTCGTGTAGCTTTGCGCGAAATCAAAAACAAACAAATAATTTTAGCACCGCGGTATACTATACATGAGTGAGATAACTTTATACTTAATTCATCCTCTGCAAGAAAATTCCTAGACCTTGCAACATCTTTCATACGTAACGAATATCGTTCTGAATGTATTATTCAAACATTATGAAACATGTATAGAAAATGAATCACTTACCATACATTTTCTACAAATGTTCCATGTTACACTACACTGAGATAATCTGTTCTCAGTACTCTCTCCAGATAGATAAGCTTCGAGAATATGAATCTTTTTTTTTTTAACTGTTTATGTTCTATTTGTTGTTAAGCGCAAAACTACACAATGAGCTATATGTGTTGTGCCCACCACGGGTATTGAAACCTAGTTTTAAGCTTAAAATGACAAGAAGTCAAGTAGTTCAGTCAGTAGGTTTTTTTTTCTCTCTCTCTCCCAATTTTTCACTTTATGGTGAACCAAAAAGGGACCATCCTTTATCAGTATGTAAAACATTCCTAGTAACCTTATCTGTCCTAAACTATAAGCAAATAGCCAACTCACATGTAAAGAAACACTATCAAAATAAATAAATAAAACGCAACCAAAACGGAAACGACGATGCCTTACTTCAACATTAACGGCAGGTCACTTTATAAACTGAAACATGACTACCCCATAGTATGTACGAGTATATATATTGATAAAATGCAATACAAAATAAATGCTAAAATTCGTTAACTATATTTTTTCCGTTGAATTTTCGAGCTTACCTTATGACCAGGACCGCTATTACTGGTTGCTTGAGATAAATTTTGACTTGAAGCATATTCTTGTGGAGAACCAGATCCAGAATCCGATTTAATACTTCCGTTTTCTACATTATAAAAGAAAAATAATACATGTACAACAAAATCACTGTTATACGAAGAATTTCATCCAATGACTCAAAATAGATGAAAGTTAATTTGGCTTGATTTTGTAAAACAATTGAAAATTCATCAAGATGCTCTACAGACAATCCAGTAAGTATCAAAATTAAGAATTGCATTTCGCTTTCATTAGCTTGATGGTTTTGAATAAGATACATCTGAGTAACAAGACCGATATCTTACCTACTAACTGCTAGTAGGAAATCATAAATTGTTAAAAAAAAAAGTCTGATCGACCAAAATTCATACTCACAACCCCGCTTACTTTGTAAATATTTTTATCAACTAGATTACCGACTAAGTATTTACTGGTTAATACGGATTGAATGTCAATCGTCTTGTAAAACTCATAAAGTTCAGAGTCCATTTCTTATTATTTTGTTGAATGACACGATAGATTAAAATTGTAAAATGACTTAGGAGTAAATTCTTGTAAAGTTAGACATTTTCTGTAAAAAATGAAACATACTAGTTAAGAAGCCTCATTTCTCATGATCGTATTTATGTATGTTTGTGTAAAATGACATGAATATCTTGAAGCCTCGTTCCTCATGCTTGCATTCATGTATTTTTGTCCAGAATGATATGAATGTTTTGAAGCTTCATTCACCATACTTCTATTCATGTATGTTTGTCCAGAATGATATGAATGTTTTGGAGCTTCATTCACCATACTTCTATTTATGTATGTTTATCCAGAATGACATGAATGTTTTGAAGCTTCATTCACCATACTTGTATTTATGTATGTTTGTCTAGAATGACATGAATGTTTTAGTAACATTGTTGAAACTACCTAACATTCCTAAATCAAGAACGTAGTCCAATATTTTAAGTCAACATGCCATTTTTGGCCTGTTGTTACCCTTTGATGAAACACCGTACATGGTCAGAGACTCAGTCATACGTGTTTATCCATTTTAGCTATTCAAATTTCTTTCTTTCACAGTGTGTGAAAAGTTCTCATTTAGTAATAATGATTTCAAAATGTGGGCCTAGCTTTAAGTTTATATCAATATCACTTGCTTTAATTTATTGCTGTTCATATTCAAAGTTGCTAATGGACAGACTAAATGTTGTATGTATAATGTTTATCTTTTTCGACGTGCCTTTGACAAGGGTTACTGATGAGGGATGAAATTCCCCGAAACCAGCGAACAGATGATGAATCGAATGATAAATTGGGCTTCATATTTATTTTTGGATTAAATGTTGGTACAGTAATTTTATATTTAGCAAAACTGAACATCATGCGAAAATATATAATTATTATCACAGTAACTTTAAATATACCATGCAATTTAACCACTACTGTTCAGTTTAAAAAATAGTATAAGAAACCTAATTGAAAAGTGACACTGCACTAGATAATTCGGAGATATAATGTGACCTGACCTGACCTAATGTTAAAGGCATACTTTCATCTTGAGAAGTTCTGATACAAGATTTCGCATATCATTTTTTAGTAACTTGTAACTGTCTGTTTAACAAATTTAAACATTCCAAATGAATCCTTTAGTGACATTCTAACCTTTAAAACGAAATTACAATAATTTGTTAAGCGTTACTATATATAGCTCAACAGATGGCGCTTGACAAGACATTTAACACGCATTTCTTGTTGTTAGTGGTTAATCAAACTGCATGCATCATGATCACCAACCTATGAAAGATGCATGCAAGGACAAAACAGTGACAAAAAATGACACTAAGCTCCTACTTGTAAGTTGCGATGTTCTCTTCAAAGGACCTTTTTCTCTACGTCTCAGTAATGGTCTATTCCGCCTCTCTGTCACCTTTAGTTTCAGCATAGACCGAACTTTAAGGTTTGGTTCCGAAGCTAAAAGGTAATAGAATGGCAAGCAAGCTACTGTACACCACAAACTTTTACTCCGGTAGGTTTCACGTACGGCATGCATTTAACTGTTCGTGCGTAGACATTGAACTAGCCTTACATTTCATAATGTTAACGTTAATAAAGTTAGTGAAAGCTAAGCTTTATCAAAGTTTAAAACAAAGAGGCTCAACATTTACCTTCAGCATATGTGATAAGGTTTGTCTAAATACTGACGCATAGTTTCCCTCCAAGTCTTAAAATGCCGCTCACAACAATTCAAGAATGAAAGTTTTATCTTTAACAAAGTAATGAATACACTTGGGGCTAACTTACAAATTCTAACTGATTTATGTTTTTTTTTTTTTAAATTTTAGAAGACAAATAATACATAAAGCAGGTATCCTTTATGAAACAAAGCATATACAGAAGGTTTAGAACATTATATTAAAACGATCCTGAATGTGCAAATCAGCAAGTCACAGCCGATATAAAGTCGCGGTGGAATGTATGAGAACTATATTTTGAAAGTGATTGCCATTTCGTAAGTCGTGTGGTGTGATACCACAGAAAATTGATCGCTTTTGGGAAGGTTATGTATCATCTCTTTCAGACGTAAAATATTCATACCCTTATATCATAAATATGTGTCCGGATCGGGGAATTTAGAATTTCCAAGACAGAGATATCTCTCGTTCTGAATGACCTTGGAAAACAAAGGAATATGGGTATACTTGGGGCACTAGGACTATCCAGAAAGCGACCTGCGACAATTCAAACCCCAGCCGTGATATGTAAACTGCGATGTTTTGTAGCACTTGAGAATCCACGAGCACAAAGATCATAAACGAAAGCTGTCCATAGGCCCCAGGTAACATCAAAAAGAAGGATTTATGTCTAGAAAAACGACAGAAGTCAAGTGTATACCAATTGCTTCCACAATATACCAATTCAACCGTCCATACTTCAATCAGCTGGTGAATGAAATGAGTATTCATGGTATTCCATTTGCAAACACATTAATGAAGTAGAACTGTTGAAACAAGCACTGGGAAACCATCTTCAACGTGTACAAGATGGATTATGGAAAGATACCGAGATGAGTATTATTCTTTGCACATGACAGACTTATGATAAAACATTTTGCAATACAAATTACACTGCAGGCCTACTGCAAAGACGCACGTTACCAGATATAGCATAACCAGACGTGACGACATGAACTGTAACGAAGTGATAAGGCTCCAAAATCGTTTTAGTATAACGTTCTCAAATATTGTGTTTCAGGTATCACGCTGAACAATGAAATGGAATTTAAAACTCTATATTTTATCTTTAAGATAAAATTATGAACACAATAATAATATTGTTTTTTATTTGAATACAAAACTCAGCAACAACTTAAAATAAAATCTGAGCTTAGTATCAATATAATATGACAATTGTAAACTTTTCTGGAAACTAAGAAGTATAAAAAATTGACGTAGTGCTTATAATTACATCGTATGTTAATTCAAATCCATTTTAATTGAACAAAACAACCCTACTCTAAACCAACACCTC